GAAGAGGTCCCATCGACAAGTGACATTTTCATCATAGGCTTGACAACGGACACCGAAGGCCGCTTACCCAACCAAGGCAGAGTCTTGCTAGTTTTGCCTGGCGCGAGTTTTCCTCCATTTGATGATGAGGCATTACTCGGTTGCAAAGGTGTTGAAGGGTCTTCTGCATCGCTCATGCTTCCTTGTTGCTGACAGATCTCTCGTGCTTGTCCGCACTCGGTGCTGATCAAGTCAGGAGGCGATGTGCGATGGACGTCGAAGGAAGGTTCCAGCTATGCCGATATAGCCAGAAATCTTGAGCCAATGGACTAGCGTACGGGCGTCGTGAAGAAGAGCACTGCAAGGCGTTCTAGCGTAGTGGTCAGGGAAAATAGGAATGTAAAGAGTTTGTAGTCGTAGGGGAGGTTGATAATGAGGCACAGCCAACAGAGGAATGTAGGAGAAAACTAGCAGCTGGTACTGAAGCATCGCTGATAAGAGATAGCAGCAGGGCGCTGGCGCATATGCGGTACGTGGGAGCCCGTGCGCTCCTGCTCGCCCTCGAGCGAAGGCAAGTGCCAGGCAAGAACACTCTCGATAGCCAGTGTTGTAGAAGACGAACTTCAGCGACACCATCAATAGCCGATTCGTGCGACAATTGAGCGACTCGAAGGTAATCCTACGGCGCCAATGGACCTTCTGTACTTGCTCATATAATCTCCGTTCACCGACGAATAGCCTCAAGGACCATTGCTGTCATGGCAAGCACCTTCTCCTCCTCGAACCTCTGGGCGACCAGTTGAAGACCAACTGGCATTCCGTGCACGAGCTCCGCATTGTCTACCGCATTGTCAGCTACAGACTGGTCTACTGGGCCGAAACACTTACAGTCATCGTGGGTCGTCTTACAGACTTCGCCGAGTGGCTTATAGTCCACCGGATACTGATCCTTCTCCTTGTCCGCGACTACACCACAAGGGAAGGTCACAGCAGAATAGTCCATGACATTATAGACGCCCGTGTAGCCGACATATCTGAACTTTCCGTTCTCCACGCTCGCATACGGCGTGGTGGGACCTGTAACCGTTAGCAATGGGTCATTGCCACCCTCCGGTCTACCCACTGAGAATGGCATCTAGATCTTCGTAAGATCTCCATTGTTCAAGATACTGCCGTTGGAGCTCTGAGCGTGCGAGTTGCAGCCTCCACATGTCGAATACGCCCAGTTCGGGGGCATCTTTGTACATTGCCATCTCAGGACGGACTGGCTCGCCAGTCGGTGCCAGCAACGCCTTAATGCTCTTGCCGCCATCTGCGACAAACATGCCAGCCTAAACCTCTCATCAGATAAGTAGCATCAACCTGGCATTGAACTGACCAAGTACTGCAGAGCGGTCGCATGTAGAGCAGGATCCCACTCGACGACTTCGTGCCCAGCGTTCTTCAGCTTCTCAACCGTCTCTTTCATGGCTCGTGCTACTGGAGGCGTGGGGGTGACTATTCCGTCATTCCAGATGACTGCAATCTTCAACTTCGGTTTCGGCTCCACCGACCTCCACGGAATTGGAACGCACTTAGGGTCTACAGTCCATGGCTGGGCGTCTACCACGGTCTTTGAGTAAAACACGACGTCTTCCAAAGTCTTCGCCATGGGACCGTTCACACTCGTCACAGCTTCCTGCCCAGCGAGACCGGACGTACATCGCTGAGTCGTGAACCTGCCAAAGGACGGCCGGATGGTAAAGATCCCTGTGCACGCCGCGGGGATGCGGAGCGACCCCCCTATGTCGGTACCCACGCCCAACGGGCTTCCGCCGAAGGCAATCAAGGCAGATTCTCCCCCTGAGGAGCCGCCAGAGGTCAACTTGCGGTTCAGGGGATTGACGGTCCTACCGAATGTATTGTTGACAGTCTCGGCCTAAACAATTCAGAAGTGCCTCACAACCAACAGTGTGAAACGTACGATCATCATGGCTGTAGGAACATTCGTCTTGCAATAGCGGACGGCGCCCAATTTTTCCAGCAGGTCCACCAAAGTAGCGTTGTATGACGCTGGTTTGCCGACCAAAGAAGTGAAGCCAACGGTGCTGTCAAACCCAGTGACGTTGAAGTTATCCTTCAGGGAGATGGGTAAACCGTGGAGCGGACCGACGACCTCGCCAGTTTTCTGAAGGTGGTCGTCCAGTGCTTTCGCCTGCTTGATACCATCTTCGAAGAAGATCTCGGAAAGACAGTTCGTCTGCAGAAGGGTTCATTATTGCTGAACTAACATCTCTCGCAATCAGGACTTACGAGCTGATGGGCCGCCGCAGCACGCTTGCAGAAGGCCCTGGTGACCTCCTCTGCTGTCCACTCTCTTGAAGCAATCTTCTTCACAATGGCACTCGCAGTGGTCTCTGTTATCTCGAGCTCCCGCTCAGTGAACCACCCTGATTCGCGCGGCCACGTGGATATGTTAAGTTGCGATTCAGGTGGCGCGGACGACAGTCGATATTCCCCAGGGATGAGGGACAAGAGATCCGCACGCTTCTTGCTGGAGATCTCTTCCCAGTTTCCGGACGACATAGTGAAGCGTGGCGGTGTCGAAATGAATACAATGTACTGATATTGTGAGTGAAGTAACTTCCTGCGGGCCTTTAAGATGGATGATCCCGACGTCGGATGGCGTTTCTTGCCGCCTTCTGTTCCATGGTTTGCCGGGCCACGTCTGATCGACTTCCCCGCGTTTCGGCCCCAGACAAACAATCCGGTCAGGACCCCACCTCTGGCGTTGTTGATCCGAGGCTTGCGAGGGACAAGAAGGTTGGGTCGCCACTTTGCTCTGGACCCGCGCCAGCGGGAACAAGGTCCAAGCTTCGACCTAAGCGATAAAAGGCGGGGACCTCCAACGGCTCAGTGAACAGCAAACTCTCTCTCCGTGCAAACGATCTGGACGCATCGTTGTCCGTCTGGCATGGCCAACAGATTCGTTCAGTATGTTCGGGGTGACCAGAACCTCCCTGGAGAGAGGAGGTTGGTTCAGAAATTGGACTTCTTCATCCTCACCTTCTGTTGTCTGATGTACTTTCTCAATTATCTCGACAGAACGAACTTGAACAATGCATACGTCTCAGGTGAGCATTACAAGCCTCCAATCTTAGCTTTGTGCTCATGCTTTCAGGGATGAAGGAGGATCTTGACTTCAGAGGCAACCAACTGAACCAGATCAACACCGTCTTCACCGTCGGCTACACCATCGGCCAAGGCAAGCTTTCGATGCTCCGCAACGGAAGAATCAGCCCCTAATGCTGTGCCAGTTCCATGTAACATAGCCCTCTACTATATTAAACCCCGCTACTTTTTCCCCGCCTGCATGGTCGCCTGGGCTGGCCTGACTATGGCTACCGCCGCATCCCAAAAACCTGGCGATATCATGGCGATCCGCTTCTTCCAAGCCATTTTTGAAGCCTCGACATTTGTCGGCACCCACTACATCCTTGGAAGCTGGTATACAGAGAAAGAGCTGGGGAAACGTTCCGGAATCTTCACTGCCTCTGGTCTCGCCGGCACCATGATTGGCGGCTTCATCCAAACCGGCATCCACAAGAGCATGAATGGCCGTCATGGTCTTGCGGGATGGCGTTGGCTCTTCATCATTGACGGCATCATCACGCTCCCCGTCGCGGTCTATGGATTTATGTTGTTTCCAGATACCCCGCGTAATACGCGTGCGCCCTACCTTTCAGAGGAAGAAAAGGCCCTCGCCATGTCTCGCGTGCCCGAAGTGTCGGAGCGCACACCCATCTCCCTCCGGTTCTTGAAACACTGCTTCAGCACCTGGTACTGGTACTTCTTCGTCGTACTCTGGATCATCGCCGGCGAAACCGAGTCCTTTTCCACGAACGCGCTCATGGCATTATACATGAAATCGCATCCGACGAACAGATACACCGTCTCGCAATTGAACAACTACCCGACCGGTGTCCCTGCAGTGGGCATCGTGTCGACCTTGTTCTGGGCCACGCTCACCGATTTCTGGGGCGGCAAACGGTATCTCGTCGGTTACTGGATTGGAATCACGGGCGTTATCACCGCTGCCGTGATTCTGGCGTATCGCGATGATACCGCGGTGGTGTTTGCTATGTATTATTGGGCTGGCAGCGTGTATGCCTGTCAAGCGACGTTTTTCGCTTGGGCGAATGATGTGCTGAGGTACGAGGAGGACAGCCTCCGGGCTGTGGTGATTGCGAGTATGAATATGGGGTCAAATGCTATCAACGCTTGGTATGTATCCTTTCCTCCCTTTTTCACTTCCTGGGTCTGATGAACTACTAGGTGGTCCATTGTCTTCTACGGCGCAAGTTACGCTCCGTACTTCACGCGTGGTATGTGGGCCATGATCGCCGTGAGTATCGCTATGGCAATATGGACTGCTTTGCTAGTGTGGATGCACGTTCGGACGGAGAAGAGGAGGGCAATGCAGGGGTCTGCTGCAGCTGCGGAAAAGGAGCTTGATTTCATGGACAGCCGACAAGGGAAGGGAAGCGTCTCTGCGGCGGTGGATCGAAAATCCGTTTAGTTTTGCGTTACTTGGCAGGAGTGTTGTGGAGGATATACCCCAATTATGAACATTATGGCGTTTTCAATTGTGGAAATTCATATTATGACGAATGCACATTCGCAAAGGCTGTCAAGGTGAGATTACAGGAGTTCTGATGGAACGGCAAATCCTAGCCACTAGACCATATCGGATGTTGTTCTTTGATGGAGGAATTGGCCGTTGTTTTGTTATATATACTAAAACACTGGTTGCGTCATGGTGCCGTACTATTCAGTGAAGTTAGATTGTTGCAAAGGTAACGCAAACCTGCATACCTAGGTATTCTCCTTCGCGGGCCCAACCCACTTCTCCTTCCGTGGCCATTTGAGCTTCCTTGCAGCAGTCCAACCTCCCCCTTCACATTTAGGTCGACAATCTACATCAGACATTATATTAGAATATATTTTAAGACACCGGTCAATTTCTTCATCAAAGAACAACATCCGATATGGTCTAGTGGCTAGGATTTGCCGCTCTCATCCAACTTCACAGCTTGGAAAGCGCCGGCAAGGCCCGGGTTCAATTCCCGGTGTCGGAATGTTCTCTTTTTGCATGTTTTGCGTCATTAAATCTCATGATCTCCTTGCGAAAAAAAAACCTTTCTTGCGGGGAGACTTTCTTTGCCTCATGGTGTGCAGTCTTCGTGTCTGATTTTTTTTAATAGGGTTCCGCGATGGTACCTCTGTACAAAGGTCGGTTGCAGATTAACCTGCGATTTTGTACGTCAGGTATGGCAACGCTGCAAGAGTTCGTCCGTTCAAAAGGGACAGAATTCGAATTGGCTACAAAAAGATTTTGGTGGATTGGACTTTTCATTCCAGTATCGGCTGTGCAGAAACGGATATTGTCGCCTTGGCTCTTGGTTGCAGAAAAACCTGGATATAAGCTAGAGCACTCTACGATTACGAGCTTTATAAAGCACGTTAAACAATCCTTCTACTCTCTCCCTTAGTTTCTTAACCCCTCCTCTAGGATAACTGTTAAGTGTATATTACAATATGCTCTAAAACGAAGGCTGCACAAACAGCCTTTTAGGGCCTAAACACTCGGTATAAGTCCAGCTTCTTCTGCAACACTAGAGCTTGGTACCTCGTTAGCTTGAGAGATCATTGATCAAGGATATCGCCAAAACCGCCCCTATTGCGTTGCGGAGCGGTGATATATCCAAAATCCCCAAGAGGCTCACAGAAAACTGCTTCACGAACGTAACATCTACAACCGCTCCAGTCGACGTATGACAGGCCTTCCCGATCTTTACTTCAAGCTGAAGGAATAGCAAAGGCTACTAGATATGGCGGCACATGATATGCAGTCATGGACTTCCCCAAGCCTCTGGTATTGGACATCGGACAGACACAAGGCATCTCTATACACCCTTCAGCAAGACAGAACTTTTGGTTGTGCTCAAGCTATCATTAGCTTTTGCAGGTTAGTCGAGTCATCTGGCGAGATATCCAGCCATCAAGAGATCGCCTATCCAAGAGCTCAACACGTTTCAAGCTTCCATTGCAGACACACCAAAAGGGCCTCCAAAACAACACAACTCAAAAAGCACTTGAATACACAAGCCCAAAGAAACAGTAGTCGATCATTGATCATTGAATTCTTGATATCTTGATAGTCGTACCAAAACCGCATGGGGGTATTGTCAAGTGGTCAGCGGCCAATAGATTCATTAAAGATGCATGATCTAAGCAACAGTAGGCGTGGGCGCAACAGGGGAGACGTCGGCAACTGGGGGAGCGTTGCCATCGCCGTTCACCGCCGCCTGCTGGCAGTCACGCGAGATGTGGCCAAGCTCGCCGCACCTGTAGCACGTCTTGCCGGCAGTGTTGAGGGGGCCGCCGTTAGGCGCAGTGCAATCGCGGGAGATGTGGCCTGGGTAGACAATCAGTTGGATGCTTAAACAATACAGCGCCAGGGTTTGACATACCGAGCTTGCCGCACGCATAGCACTTCATAGCCTGAGCCTGGCAGTCCCGGGCAAAGTGGTTGGGGCCTCCGCACTTGTAGCAGGTGGCAGGGCGGGATCCGCCAGCGAAGCCGCCCCGGAAACCTCCTCCGTATCCGCCACGAGCAGGGCCGACTCCGCGTCCAGCACCGGGGACAGGGCCGCCGGGGCAGTTGCGGGCAAGGTGACCGGGAAGGCCGCAGCTATAGCAACGGCCGCTGGTACCAGCGCCGCTCAAACGGAGCGTGGGGCAGTCAGCCTGGACGTGCCCGAGACCCTGGCAGTGGTAGCACTGCTTCGCTGCGAGAAAGTCAGAATCGATTCGTAAAAACGAGAGCCCAATGCGGATAGCGACGTCTCAGGCCTGTAGCTCTTTTGGGTATAGGCATGGATCAACCTAGCTCACGTATACCGAGGTGAGAGGCGCTTTGTCTCAGATATTGGGCACGGATAGCGAGTCTTGGTTCGAGAAAAGAGAGGTGTATACGTACTCTCCGTCGTGCGGGGGTGCGGGCAGCCATTGGACTCGTGGCCAGGTTGCTTGCCTATGAGACAGTCAGAGGGTCAGTATTGGAGAAGGAGGGCCAAGACTCACAGTTGTAGCAAAGCCTTTCCGACGACGAGCACACCTCTGCAACAAGTTCAGTAGCGGTTCCTAGCAGCTGTCCCACAACGGCAGCAGTCGCGCGACACGGGTCCTCGCAGTGGAGACGGCGTCTTGCCAACGGCGTGTTCCAGCATTGTCCCACATGCAGCGCAACGGGAGCCAATTGTGCGGATGAGGCGTACCGGCATAGTGTCCGACGTTGCCGCACTTGAAGCATGCGCGGCGCGAGAGCGACGACATGATTAAATCCTCCGAGTTGACCTGATGCCAGATATGAGCAGTTGCACGATGAGGTTGCGGATTAGGGGCGGCAAGCGAGAGAGGACAGGCAGCGTGGGTTGGCTTGTTGTTGGGTGCGCGTTTCGGCGGCAAGCGTTTGCTTCGACGGCGAATGGCGGCGGTGTGGTGGCGCAAATACCTTTCTTCAGACACTGAGACAAATCCTCACCTGCGCGACAGCTCGAGTTAGTCGACAGCTGTGGGGGAGGGGGGATTCGAGGGAGGGGTGGCTTGCGAGCGATGTCGCGCCGAAAAAGGCGGGCAGACGGGTGCTTGCAGGCTCGCAGGGCGACACTTACTTTGGTCTGGTTCGACTTCTTCTCTCTTTCCTTCCCTCAGCAGCGACACAGCTTCAGCAGCACAGCAGCAGCAACCGTCCTCCTGGATCGCGCGGGCGGGATGCGGGATTATAAGTAAGTATGGGGAGCTGCAAGCGACGCTGGCGCGGGTCGGCCTGCAGGCAAAAAGAGACTTCTCGGCTTGCTGTTGGTCCCTGCACCCTTTTCCCTGTCTGTCACCTTTCACCCTTCTGTCCAGCTCGCACATGAGAGCTGCAGCAACCGGGCCCACGCGCCTTCGGCTTTGTCCCGAGGTCAATATTTCTGGGCCATCACGCCGCCGACGCTATCAACGGGTGCCCGCCTTTGTGCCACGTCGGCGCACATGACAGCTTGAAGTTTGACCCTAACAAACCTTCACGGAAGTCATCACTTGTTTTCTGTTGCAGCTCCGTCAGCCAGCTCGTCACTCTTTCACCACCGAGCTGCAAGAGTCGTCGTCACAGCACAGTCGAGTCACCACTACCGTGCACTAACCGGAGCCGGACCTGTTTAAACCCGCATCGCGGCTCACTAGGGGAAAGTATAGGCGGTCATCTTCACATGACCTGCCTTGGCTGTGCCGGTAGGGGGAGTGGGTTCCTGCATGAGGGGTGCTGCATCCTGGTCCGACTTTGTACGACATTGTGTAATAGCATCCTTCTGTCATGGCAATCTTGTCGTGTCGAAAATGGCGAACTCATCTATTATGCTTTTGACTTTCTGTGGTTCTCTCTTATGCGATGTGTGAGCATCCCGGCTTACGAGCGCCTTAACTCATTCCTCCTTTTCGATCACAGCCGGCGCTTTGATAGTACGGCCACTGAGGAACTCCAATCCTTCGCCTCCCTGTTATATTGTCAGCAAACAGGACGTGACATATAGACGCCCACTTACGTATGAGATTAGAGGCGACACCTCGACTCCGTCGTCGCTCTCGGAGACGACTGTTGCGCCTGCAGCCCGCACCCACTTGGCACCCTGTGCCATGATGTCCTTCTTGCTCGTGTCCGGGTCGTCCTCACCAGTGCCAGGAGCGTTCTTCAGCGGGGAGAACTCGTCCTCGCGCCTCACCTCCATGCAGGCGAACTTGTCGAGCGTCAGGAAGGGGAAGCAGTCGAAGACGAACTGCTCGAGCTTGATGCCATTGGGCTTCTCCGGCTTGATCGTCTCGCCATTGTCGGTGTTGACGTGGGGAATCTTCTTGCGCGCGACGTGGTGCTTCAGATCCTTTACCCATGTGGGGATGCTCTCAAGGAAGTTGTACGAGTAGTAGTGGTTGACAATGTTGGCGGCGCGGAACTTGAGGATCTCAGGGTCCTTGGGATCCTTGGCCTCAGCGTCCTCTGTGCTGATCTCAGAGTACTCCACTACGTCTGGGCGTCCATTCTTCTGCAAGATCAGGCCAACGGACTCCTTCGCGTTGCGCTTGCGAACAACCTTGGTGGCGATGTCGACGCTCTTCGATGCGGAGAAGCCAATGAAGGCCGGGTCGGCAACCTTGACCAAGCAGTTGTCGACGCAGTATGCGTGAATGTGCTGGATACCCCTCTTGCCCATGTCTGCTACAACGCCGGACTTGATCAGGGCCTGGTAGAGTCCACCGTTACCATCAGGTGCGACAGCCACCTGAGAGACGATCAGCATGTGTTATGATGAAAACTGTCCCTCAACATACCTTTGACTTGCTCTCCAACAGGATCTTGCCCTCATTGGAAATACAGGGAAGGACGCCTTGCTCAAAGATCATCACGTTCTCCTTCTTCAGGCCGAAGTAGTTGTTCTTCTCGAAAAACTCCTGTGTAGGCTTTCGGGTCGGGCCACTCGTCATGACATACCACGGAACAGTAACGTTCGCCTTGCTATGCTTCTTCTTGGCCAATTGTTCTACTTTGGCAATCCTCTCGCCCTGGAGCTGGAACAGCGACTTCTCGCTCGGCAGCCCGATATTGTAGCAGCCTTTAGGAGCCGAGCTGCCCAAGCGGGTGCCCTGGCCACCAGCCATCAATACCACAGCCACCTTGTTCTCAGCGATCAGCTCCAAGCCATCGTCGTACCACTTCTGGAGGTCCTCCGGCTTCGAATCGAGCACCGATGACGTAGCCTCGCTCGGTAGGGGTTCGAGTGCGGCTTCGGTCGATTCCTCCTTGGGGGGATGCAATGCCTTCTCCGCGAGCTCATTGATGTATTCGGGGTCGAAGTCGGAGAGCTGTCCGAAGATGGCGGCTTTTTCGGCCGTGGACAGCTTGTCGTAGAAGGCGAAGACCTGCTCTTGTCCAGCCCGTTCATACTTTTCCCTAAGCTCCTTCAGCTGTTGTTCTGAGGGTTCTTGTGCCGGGGCGCCATCATTGCCGCCGCCTGTGATGTGCAGAGCCTCGAGCGTG